TTCCATTTTGAGTCTATGCCGTAGTTTTCGCTAAACGAACAGCACCTGCAGAGGAGCGTTTTGAATGTGAATTTGTAAATACATATTAAATAGATATTCAATAATCTGGGACAACTCTGCTAAACGAACCACGTGCAGCAGAAGTCTTCGCCCTTTCCAGGCAAAGGGCACCACTCAATGACCACTTTTCGATTTCTTTTGCTTTTCCCAACTAATTAAGCTTTACAATCTGGACTTGCTTACTAATCTATTGATAAGCTTTTTCACTTGAATATGACTACTATTTGCTGTGACTTCTACCCTCATTTGGGCAGTCTGCTCCTTACTGCTGCTTCCCAACTGTTCCGTTGTCTTGCGCCAACGGCCAATTCGCATTTTGTCGTCACCAGTCAGTAACGATCGTTTTCCCATGTTTTTCTGTATACGCACGTTCTGGCATTACAGTACGACATCGAGCAGGCATCGAGAGGGAGAAAAATGTGTTTGAAGTTGGCGCCAGTCTAGCTGGGTCTCACCCACCGTCGTGTCAGCTGTTCGCTGGGCATCGCGCTAACTTGGCTTATCGCCTGTGGATCGCTTGGAGTTTCTTCGCTTTCGATCTTCAGTCCAGCGGCGTTGACGACCATATTCTGGAATTCTGAAGCACTGATCATTCGCTACAAACGAACGTCAGGGAGCTAGCCGCCCGCGATGGGGAATGCAGCCACGACGCAATCGCAGGGCCGCAAGGACTATCACCACCACCACCAGGGCCCAGCCGGCCTCGCCACCGTCTACTCGAATGGAAGGGCAACCTCGGCTGCTTCCGAAAGAAGTGAGTGAGATCGGTTCAGTACCGCCTTAGTTGGCTATACCGCTTGTGTTGTGTTGCGTCCGCTGCTGCTTGTCGCGATTTTTTAACAGCTGTGCAAGCATCAATTCGCCCATCTTCTGTTGGCTTTGTGCGAATCCCGGTTGATGAATGAAACTCCTCAGCCATTGATTGGAACGAACTGTCCTCATGAAATAGTGACTTTCTAGCTTTAGAACTCTTCAAGTAGTTTAGACAAGCACAAAGAAAAACCTCATACATTTTATTAGGATGAAGAGAATGTTATCGAATCCGACATTTATAAAAAAATTGAATTGAAATTTTGACTTCATGCTGCGACTCTATAGAGAGCCTGATTGTCATTTAGAAAGGTAAACTCATCGCTGGTTAAATGAGCTAGTTGGGTTTTAGGTAGTACTATACCACTCTTGATTTTGTGTGCTTTCTGAAGTTGAGAAGTGCACTAACTTTAGACTAGGCTTCTATTCCGGGTCTCTACATATAAAACTGAAACGAGCTTGTAATGCTCAAAAATAACGCTTCCATTGATCATCGCACTCTACATAAAAAGCTGTGGATACTAAATTATAGAAAATGCAGAACCTGCACTTGGGAAAATCCTGTAAAATTTATCCGACAGCCAAAATTGGCTCTATCTCTCCCTTGCCGGCGAAAATTGAAATTTTAAAAAAGTATAATCCCCTCTCTCTTTGTGCAGCGAAAATGGGAGTCGGAATTGCTTTATTGTTCAAAGACCTTTTCAAGATTCATTATTAGCTTCGTAATGTTTTAATGTTGAAAAAGACTTGATAACATCAAACCAGAATTTTTTAAATCTAAAAAAGTTTGAAAAAAGCACATTGGGGACGACTCCTTTTACCACTGTACCCATCATCCGGAAGGTGAAAGAACTAGTTTTTTTTTCATTTGAAATTTGTTATTCAAAATTATGCTCTACAAAATTATAGCGGCCAAAATTGCGGTCTTTTATCTTTTCTAAAATGCTGGTAAGAACTATGGTTGTGATAAATTGATTCCTAGAGGATGCACAAGTCATGCGAGAATTTTTCGTTCTGAGAGGGAAATGTTGGTCATTGCAGAGCTCAATTAGAGCTTTCTTCATTGCCAGCCGTTCTTTATATCCTTTCTTCTCAATGCGTTTAGAACTTTATGGACCAAATGTTGGCATAGTATGTTCCCGTGAAATCTATGCCGCTCCTTTTTTTTATTTTTTTGTATCAGGTTACGGTGTCAGCAATTCTTCGAAAGTGGAATATCTTATTTTATGGTATTGCATGGTTCGCTGTGCTCTTTCATCTTCTCTGTGTTTGCTAAGCTTTTGTAGACTTTTTAGCGGTCAGCTGTTGCAGAAAATTTGAAATTTAGGTGCAAATATCAATGATAGCATCGATATAATTTAGAATTGCTTTAATAGATGAAGCATGTGTTCATCAATATAGTGCACAAAGGAAAGCCTTAAAGTAGATTATGGTAGAAGATTTCCGTCAAAAGTTGAACTGGATTTTCACGATCAGCGCAGTATCACCAAAAAAATGATTGCGTTTTGCATAAGTCATGATTTACGTCAGTTTCTGTCTATCGTATTGCTCTCTATTTTTAGACGCTTTCCCTTTGGTAGCCATGCACAAAAATGTTAGAAATTTGATTGGTTTATATATACTTCTATGTTTCTCTTTTCAAACTCAGCAGTTCCCACACTATATGTATGGTCTTTGCTTCGTCGTTTTGCATTGGTAAGGAACCCCAAGTAAAATCAATTTTTGCAAGAACAAGCTTCTCCCTTTTTAAAGTTGTGAAGAAGGCGAAAGTAAAGGGAGGTTTGATCTGATACAAATGACAAATACGTTTGCGTCGAAGATATATCGTGGAAGCTGTTTTTCGACGCAGCTAGCACATGCTTGCTCGAGCCAGCCTTAGCCCAAGCTGCGATTCAACAAAACACAATGGCGAAGAGAAAAGAATGCGGCAACGAAAATTGCAAATAAACAAACAAG